GCTTATATAAGTAGTATCTAAAATGGATAAATCAAAATTTGCTCCTATCCAGATCTGTTATTAGCTGTTTTATTTTATTTTGTTTCCAATGTATAGTGGTTGGTGACGACGTACTTGGAAAAAGTACACGAGTTTTTTTTTTATAAATAACCATTCACACACATCTTTCGTAAATTAATAATTTTAAAGTGGAATATTTCATTTTGTCAAAGACATGTTTTTATTTCCCTGTTGATATTTTATTTTATTCAATAAAGGCAGATTTATTTATTTATTTTTAAAGAATAAAAGCAAACTTCAAATTTTTTTTAACACTATATACTAATTTATTCAAATATTTTTAGAGGCTCTTGAAACTTTGCATATCCCCTTAATAACATTTGTTTCCCAATCAGGCTAATTCTTTTTCATTTTATCCAAGACATGATTTCCTGTTTTCTTTCTAAGAATAAAAACAAACTTCAAATCTAGTATCTATATTATTTACTTATTAGTAATTCATAAGGGCTTGAAATTTGTTATAGCCCTTCAAACACTAATATAGCCTCTTTTTTTTCCAATCAGATAACATTTTTTAGATTGATGATTGATCTAAATTTATTTTGTTGAGCTACACACATTTGTTCTCAATTTTTATTTCCGTTCTTTGAATTTTTCTTGCCAACATTTTAAGATTTTCATAACATCAATAAAACATGAAACAAATATATGATTAATACTTGAGAAATTTCAAAAAATATCACTTTTCAAGTGTCACTTTACAAAAATGTCACACTTTTGAAATCTTTACAAAAATATCATTTTTCAAAATTATTTTTTCTTTATATTATTTATGTTTTGATTAATTACGTTCTATTAGGGTTTAGTTATAAGGGTTTAGGGGTCAAAACATTTTTTAGGATTAAAAATTTTAGGATATAGACTTTATAAATTTATAATTAGTGGTATTTTTACAAATGGATACTCTTAACTGATATTTTTGCAATTGTCCCTTAATAAATCTTTAATTAAAAAAAATGAAATGAACAATTCAAATCTATACAAATGGATAACATGTTCCATTGTGGATAAAACGTTGAATATGTTAAATTTAGGCGAAACTGTTTCGACCAATAATTAGAATAATATTATACATGTTGAAATGAACAATTCAAATATATAGAAAGTTAGATGTCAGCGCAATCAAATAAACATTATTTTATCATGTAAAAAAAACTAAATTTTACTAAGGAAAATAAATTGGTACTAATTTAAGTTTCGGTTAATATTATTTTAATACTTGAAGTGTCAGATCCTAGTCATGTATAATGAATATAAAACAAAACAGAAGGATTCAGCTAAATTAATGTTGAGCTCCTCTATGATTAGTTTCTTATAACGAAATGATATTTATGATTTTATGTAATGAACTGATTATAATCTAGTGGCTTTGTTTCATTTTGCTGGTTCAAATCAGTAAAAAGAAATCATTCACATAAAATCTAACGCGTAT